AAAAAAAAAAAAAAAAAAAAAGACAATGAAGTTTAATATAGTTTCAGAGACAAATCTTCTGTAGTTAACAAAAAAAAGAGAATATTATTTTTTCAATGCTAGAGAGAGCATGGCCTATTGAGAATTTCCTAATACGATCTTTTTGTGAAAAGAAAAAGAGTGTTCAATATTATATAATAATGGTAATAAGAGCTAACATTTGCCAGGTGCTATTGGCCAGGCATTATGTTAAGCACTTTACAATTTTATGGCATATTTAATCCTTCTGATGATCATATCATTATTCTTTTCAGACAGAGTTATAATTCTTATAAGATGAAGACAATTTTAATTTATCATACAGCTATTTTTTATTAATTCTCTCCTTAAAAAGACAAACAGTGAAAATATTTTTAACACATTTTTTAAACAAAAAACCTTATCACAGACTTTAAAGTGTTTTTTTCTCACCCATTTAACTGGACAGGTAATACCAACACCACTTACTTTTTTCCTTTATTCACATCTATTTGTACCCCCACATTTTATTCTTATTATTTTCTCTCATTTAACAAATCAAACAAGCATAGGGCTTTCTTTTTTCCAGAGGTGAATTCAAAAAAAAAAAAAAAACAGATTTTCCCAAAGTACCTCTTTGGAGCTATTAACAATTATCCTCAGGATCAAAACTTAGTTAGAAATAGGGGCATAAAATCCAACCAATGTGACATGTAAAATGTAGATGCCAAGGCAAACATCATAAAATAAGTTATCAGTGATCTGAGAATGATAATGCAGTGAAAAACTAGACATCCATGCACTGGAAGAAAGGAATGCTACTGAGATACTATAATAACTACTATAGTGAAGAGTTATTCAGCAAAGTCTGAGATGTTTTCATAAATCACAATCACTCTGTTAAAAATTATCCAATTTATCAAGGAGTATAATACTAAAAATTTGTCAAAATCCAAACCTGAAGAGTTTAAGCCCTTTTATTTTAAAGCAGTAAAAGGTTAATATTTGCCAGAGTGTAACAACTATCCACCCCCACTACTATGAGTGTTAATCATACCCTAATTTAAATACAATAATTAGAACAGGCTGAATAAAAGGAAAAGAAGTTGATTTATTCTTTCACAGAAAAAAAAAAGAGCTCACGGCAATTAAAATATACATGCTTCTATAGGCTATATTGGAAATAATCTTTACAAAATAACAAAATTAAGCTGTCCTAATCCATGCAGGTGCAGTAATTCTTACCCATGGAAGTAATACTCCCATAATTCTCCTTCCTGTCATCCCTACAAAGGGACTTCTGGGACTGGTCCAAATGTCCCCATTCCTCCAGGATGAAGGATACAGCCACATCAGCCACATCTTCAATTTTCACCAACTTCTGAAACAGGAGATCTCCACTAAATTCCCATTGCCTAGGTTCAAATTTGGGAAGAACTGGGTGCATTAAGGAAAAAACAAGAGGCAGGCCTCAAAGAAGACAGGGAGGCTCGGCGCCTGTGGCTCAAGTGGCTAAGGCGCCAGCCACATACACCTGAGCTGGTGGGTTCGAATCCAGCCTAGCCCGCCAAAACAATGACAGCTGCAACCAAAAAATAGCTAGGTGTTGTGGCGGGTGCCTGTGGTCCCAGCTACTTGGGAGG